GGGGCAGGGGTCATGGTGATGGCAGCCAGGACTTGCCCAGCAGCATCCCTATGCCTGGGGTCCTTGACGGCAGCTTCAGAGAGGGGAGAACGGTGGCCCCAACCTCCCAGAGCTGCCGACGTCCATCCCTGGCTACGAGCAGCTCAAGAGGCTTTTAGAAGGCACCGATAGCTCCAGCACGGCCGCATCAATGGGGACACCCCTGGGCAGCGACATCTCCCCGGGGCAGAGACGTCCCCTGCAGCTCCTCTGCTGATCCTCACAGCCAAGGCTCTGGGGACAAGGCTGGGGACATTGTGGAGCAGGAAATGGAGAGAAAAAGCCCCAGAGCCAAACTTGAGGGCTGGCCACAAGTTAAAGCCTGTTCAGAAGGGCCCTGTCCACATGGGCTCGTCTTGAGCCTGCTGCATCTGGATGGGAAACAGCGAGAAGGAGTTGGGGGCTGCAGTGCAGCAGGGAAATGATGACATTGTCGCCCGCACAGAACTGTGCTGGATGATTCCCATGGTTGGAGTGCTGCAGTGGATGGCTACAGGCTCTTGAGAAGGGACAGGGAAGGGAAAAGAGGTGGTGGGGTTGTGTTGTGTGTCAGGGAGTGCATGGACTGCCTTGAACCAAATGCTGTGAGAGAGAAGCTGAATGAATGTTTGTGGGTAAGGATCAGCAGGACCTTTGCTCTCCTGAAGTCCAGGGCAGTGACTCTGCTGCCCCTGCTCTGCGCTCATCTGACAACCGTTTCATGCCCACGGTGGCCAGGACCATGCCAGGCCCCTGCGTCCTTGTCCACTGCCAGCCCCCAGCCCAGGAGGGCATCTTTCCGAGCTGGCCCAGCGAGAGCTCGGGACAAGAAGTTCTCTTGTCACCAACTTCAGAGCTGGCCCCAAGGAGAGCCCGGCCCTGGGAATGGAGCAAGATTGCAGCCAAAGGCACCTGCACCCCCAGCCCCTGAGAGGCGCTGGTGGGGGCCGGGGGAGCCCCGCCCCACCCCCCCTTAACCCTTTCTTTCCCTGCCCAGGAGCAGCTGGGGACAATGCAGGGGCGTGGCAGCACCCGGGGAGCCCCAACGTTCCATGGGTGATGGCAAAGGAGCCCTTAGCAGCAGGCAGCGGCCAGCACGGGCCATGGCGCTGCCGCCACAGCAGCTCCCCAGCGCGCGGCCCCGGGCCCCCCGGCGCTGCAGATGCTGCGGGATTTTGTGCTCCCCGAGAGCTTCTACCCGAGAGGTGGGGACCGAGCCCGCAGGCGGGGGGATGCTGGGGGCAAGAGCGGAGGTGACCGCGGCCATGGCTCCTGTCTCTCTTTCAGCCTTTGCCAAGCTCTCGAAGCTGCTCACTCGGGTGATGCCCTTCCCTGCATCCTGGATCCCCTGGACAGCATGGGCACCCCCGGACGCACAGGACCCCCCAGCAGGTCTGGCACCCCTGTCTGCTCTGGCACCGCGGCCCCATCGCACCTGCAGCATCCCCAGGGCCGGGTGCTGCGGGATCCCAAACCCTGTCCCCCGGCAGATCCGGCACAGGGGCTCTGCAAGCCCGGCTGAGCGTCCCTGCCCTTCCCTTGGCTGGGGTGTGCTCGGTCAGCCCCATCTCCAGGGACGTTCCCAGAGGCTCAGCACGGCTCCCACTCCCCCTCACAGGGCTGCAGAGGGCTCCATTTAAGGGCTTCCTGGAGCCCCAGCTCGTCTTCATGCCCTGGACCAGTCCCAGCCTGCCTGCAGCGGACACCTCCACGCTGGGCTTCGGTGCTGCTGCTGTGCCGGGTGCTGCCCTGCTGGGCCCTGGAGGCTGTGGGTCCCTCCCGGCCTGGGCAGCCCCCGGGACCCCCCAGGGCCCAGTGCAAGTCCTCGAACCCCAGAGCCATCGGGGGAGAGGAGCAGAGGCCCCAGCGGCCCCAGTGCTGCCAGCGCCCAGCCCCGGCCATGAGCGGACTGAGGAGGTTCCTGAAGACTTTGACATCTGGAGCACGGCCACCTCCTTGGGGACACCCTCTGGCAGCAACAGCCCTGCAGGCAGCGGCAGTCCTGCAAGCAGCCACATCCCATCAAGCCCCTCTGATGAGCAGGGCAGCTGGTTTCTTGGGAACCCAGATGAGGACAGTGGGGCCACCAAGGGGATTCTCCTCGGAGAGGCCCTGCATGTATTTGGCATGTCCCAGGACATGATGGAGGTGATCCAGGACGTCCCTGGCGATGTCACCACGCCTGGGGACCCTGGAGTCACCAAAGGAAAGGAGGGAGGAGTGGCCCCAGCTGCCCCGCTTGGGGTGAATTTCATCTGTGGGCACGAGAACACCGAGGGGGTGTCTGCGGAGTCCAGCATCTCCGGAACAGCCACCTCCATGGGGACACCCCCCTCAAGGACAACAGCCCTACTGGGGCGCGGCCCCCAAGCCCAGCTGCTCAGTGCCACTGCCAGGGCATTGGGGAGCTGGGTTTCTCATGGGGATGCGCAGGGAGGTGAGGAGGCCGTGCGCTCCCTTGGCCTGTACAAGGAGAGGAGGGGGTTAGGGAGGAGGGTCCCATTCTCAGCCCCTCTGGGGGCCATCCCTCTCCAGCCCAGTCGCTCACCCCCACTACCAGGGCCTTGTGGAGGAGGAATTTTACAGCTGGGAGTATGAGCCCAGGGAGGTGGAGGAGGCCGTGCGCTCCCTGGAGCTCAACAGAGGAGTTTGGGAGGGGGTCAACCAGGAGGGTCCTGGCAGCAGCCCCATGGCTGGGGAGCCTGGTGGCCTGGGCTCATCCCCACCTGCCAGGGCAGGGAGAAAGAGGGGGGGGAGCCACCTCCCGACTCCCTCCCCCAAGCGCCGGGTTCCCCCGGGGGGGATTCGACGAGAAAAAGTTTAGGATGGGGATGAGGAAAAGTTCTGGGGATTGGAGCAGTGGGGATGGGGGGGTGGGGATGGGGAAGGAGAGTTCTGTGGTGGGGGCTGACATTATTAATAAATTGTTCTATGTTTCATTTAAACCAGTTTGTTCTGCACTGCTCTGGGTCTGGGGGGCAGGAGGGAGCAATGGGGGCACTGGGAAATGGCACCCAAGAGGTGCCAAAGCCCCGCTGGGCCCCACATAAGAGGTGCCCAGGGCAGAGTCACCGGCAGTGGGGCAGCAGTGGAGGGGGAACCTCCTGTCCCCTTCCCCTGGAGCCAGGACAGACGGGTCCCTGCAGGACCCACGGACACGGCCCCGCGCAGGGGCAGCACCAGGACCCTGGCACAAGGACAGAGCTTGGGGTCAGTCAGGGACGGACACACAAGGTGTGGGCACATCAATGGGGACACCCCTGGGCACCGGCATCCCCCGGTGCCTCTGGTGTCCCCAGAGCCAAGGCTTTGGGACAGGGCCGGTGACAGTGCAGGGTCCAAGGAGATGCCTCTCGAGGAGGCCCTGAGGGTCTGCAGGTGCTCGGAGGACACCATCTGGAAGGAGCCCTGTGAGCAGTGGGGGGATGTGATTCCGTGACTTGCCGTGTGCCTCTGCTCCAGCCCCTTCATGACCTCAGAGATGCCGTTTGGCAGCGGGAATCACGGCACAGGTTGTCCAGGCTGGGGTAGCGCAGGACGAGCGGCTGCTCCCTCCCTGCACCCCAAGCTCCGCACCCCGCCATGGGCATTTCTTCCTGAAGGCCTTATTCCGCCCCGGGCTGCCTCGGGACGGCTCCGGATCCGGATCCGGCGGGGCCGGGCCAGGCTTTGTGACCGACCGACCGGCCGGACCCTCCGCTCCCGCCCGCGCCGCGCCCCTCTCGGGGGCTCTTGTGCCTCGTCCCGCCCGCGCCGGGCCGCGCACGGCGGTTGCTGAGGGGCGGCCGTGCCCGTGGCGCCGGGAGCCTCCCCTCGGGGCGTGCGGAGGTGCCGTGAGGGGGGCTCTGAGGCGGCGGCACCCACCGGGGCGGCCGTGTCCGTGCAGCCCCTCTCGGCCCTCGCCTGGGCACAGGCAGCCGCGTGCGCTCCGTGCGGCAGCTCCAGGCCTTTCCCTGCAGTTTGAGGCAGTTCTGGCCCTCCCAGCGCACCTGAGCCCCTGCAATAGGTGCTGCTTCCTGATCGCCGCATGGGCCCTGCTGGCGGAGGCTGCCGCTGCTGCAGGAGCTTCGTGCAGGCTCCACAGTGGGGAAATGACGTTAAAAGCAGCAGAGAAAACAGGAGCGGTGAGAAAGGGCCGTGTTTTCCACAGAGCAATGCAGGCAGAATTGTGAAGGTGCTTTCAGAGCAGAACTGGCACCGTGCGTGGTGCTGGCAGAGATCTGTGCTCTTCCAGCAAGCTACGATGCGCTGTAGATTCCCCTGTGTTCGTGGGGCTGTTCAGCCTGGCCCCATCAATCCCAAGCTGCACTTTGCAGAAATGACCCTCCAAACATGCCGAGCTGATTCCCTCAAGCAGTAGTAGGAGGGGATTGTCAAAGGGAACCGCTTGCGTGTTTACAGCCCCAAATGAGTTGTGACTTAATACTTGTGCATGGCACCATGAATGTGTTCGCAGCTCTTTGGTTTACAGAGGGATGTGAGGCTGAAGGAAGGGGCCTGTTTGCCTTGGACCCTGCACTCGAGGTGAGGGTGGGAGGCTGGTGAGAGGCTGTGGCAGGTCTGAGAGGTGCAGAGGGAGCCGGAGCAGGGGTAAGGATGTTTGTGGGTAAGGATCAGCAGGACCTTTGCTCTCCTGAAGTCCAGGGCAGTGACTCTGCTGCCCCTGCTCTGCGCTCATCTGACAACCGTTCCATGCCCACGGTGGCCAGGACCATGCCAGGCCCCTGCGTGCTTGTCCACTGCCAGCCCCCAGCCCAGGAGGGCATCTTTCCGAGCTGGCCCAGCGAGAGCTCGGGACAAGAAGTTCTCTTGTCACCAACTTCAGAGCTGGCCCCAAGGAGAGCCCGGCCCTGGGAACGGAGCAAGATTGCAGCCAAAGGCACCTGCACCCCCAGCCCCTGAGAGGCGCTGGTGGGGGCCGGGGGAGCCCCGCCCCACCCCCCCTTAACCCTTTCTTTCCCTGCCCAGGAGCAGCTGGGGACAATGCAGGGGCGTGGCAGCACCCGGGGAGCCCCAACGTTCCATGGGTGATGGCAAAGAGTCCTTAGCAGCAGGCAGCGGCCAGCACGGGCCATGGCGCTGCCGCCACAGCAGCTCCCAGCGCGCGGCCCCCGGGCCCCCCCGGCGCTGCAGATGCTGCGGGATTTTGTGCTCCCCGAGAGCTTCTACCCGAGAGGTGGGGACCGAGCCCGCAGGCGGGGGGATGCTGGGGGCAAGAGCGGAGGTGACCGCGGCCATGGCTCCTGTCTCTCTTTCAGCCTTTGCCAAGCTCTCGAAGCTGCTCACTCGGGTGATGCCCTTCCCTGCATCCTGGATCCCCTGGACAGCATGGGCACCCCCGGACGCACAGGACCCCCCAGCAGGTCTGGCACCCCTGTCTGCTCTGGCACCGCGGCCCCATCGCACCTGCAGCATCCCCAGGGCCGGGTGCTGCGGGATCCCAAACCCTGTCCCCCGGCAGATCCGGCACAGGGGCTCTGCAAGCCCGGCCGAGCGTCCCTGCCCTCCCCTGGCTGGGGTGTGCTCAGTCAGCCCCATCTCCAGGGACGTTCCCAGAGGCTCAGCACGGCTCCCACTCCCCCTCACAGGGCTGCAGAGGGCTCCATTTAAGGGCTTCCTGGAGCCCCAGGTCGTCTTCACGCACTGGACCAGCCCCAGCCTGCCTGCAGCGGACACCTCCACGCTGGGCTTCGGTGCTGCTGCTGTGCCGGGTGCTGCCCTGCTGGGCCCTGGAGGCTGTGGGTCCCTCCCGGCCTGGGCAGCCCCCGGGACCCCCCAGGGCCCAGTGCAAGTCCTGGAACCCCAGAGCCATCGGGGGAGAGGAGCAGAGGCCCCAGCGGCCCCAGTGCTGCCAGCGCCCAGCCCCGGGAACCAGCACATCAAAGAGGTGTCTCCAATCAACATCTGGAGCACGGGCACCCCTGTGGGGACAACCCCTGGCAGCAACAGCCCTGCAGGCTTCAACAGTGCCCTCAGCTCCTCTCGTGGCCTCCAGAGCCAAGGACTTGGACACCCAGAAAGTGACACTGGAGTCACTGAGGAGACGCTCCTCCACGAGGCCCTGCCCCTTCTTGCTGTGCCCCAGGACATGGTGGATGTCCCACCTGCCAGGGCAGGGATAAAACGTGGGGGGAGCCACTTCCCCACTCCCCCCCCCAAGCACCGGGTTCCCCCGGGGGGGATTAGACGAGAAAAATTTTAGGATGGGGATGATGAAAAGTTCTGGGGATTGGAGCAGTGGGGATGGGGGTGGGGATGGGGAAGGAGAGTTCTGTGGTGGGGGGGTGACATTATTAATAAATTGTTCTATGTTTCATTTAAACCAGTTTGTTCTGCACTGCTCTGGGTCTGGGGGCGGGAGGGAGCAATGGGGGCACTGGGAAATGGCTCCCAAGAGGTGCCAAAGCCCTGCTGGGCCCCACATAAGAGGTGCCCAGGGCAGAGTCACCGGCAGTGGGGCAGCAGTGGAGGGGGAACCTCCTGTCCCCTTCCCCTGGAGCCAGGACAGACGGGTCCCTGCAGGACCCACGGACACGGCCCCACGCAGGGGCAGCACCAGGACCCTGGCACAAGGACAGAGCTTGGGGTCAGTCCAGGGACGGACACACAAGGTGTGGGCACATCAATGGGGACACCCCTGACGGACACGATCCCCCGGGTCCCTCTGGTCCAGCCCGAGAGCCAAGGCTTTGGGACAGGGCCGGTGACATTTGGGATGTCACGTGGCTTCCTCTCTGCACTGCTGAACCTTAAAGTTCATGGCCAGTGATCCAGAAAGTGCAGTCACTCCCCTGAAAAGGGAAGGCTCTCAGTCCCGAGGAGTTGCCTCGGATGCCATCCTGACCCAAGGGGAGAGTCCCCAGCTGCAGGCTGCTGCTCTGAGGAGGAACAACTCCAAATGGCTGCCCAAGGGGCTCCTTTTATACCCTGGTAGCATCTGAGCTCTGGTCAGATATGATCACAGAATAGGTTGGGTTGGAAGGGACCTTCAAAGCTCATCTAGTCCAGCCCCCTGCAGTGAGCACAGGGACATCTTCAACTAGATCAGAGTGCCCAGAACCACATCCAGCCTGGCCTGGAATGGCTGCAGGGATGGGGCATCCACCACCCCTCTGGGCAACCTGTGGACAAAATGTCTTCATTCTGTGCAGCCTGAAGCTCCCCTTTTTAGTTTCAAACCAGGCACTGCTGTGGAGTATCTTGAAGTGAGGTAAAAGACACATCAGAGGCCCGGCTGGTGCTCGCGGTCCCTTTGGAAACCACCACAGCACAAAGCATGGGGGCAAATCCCCACTCCATATATAGTCTTTTAATTTCCAGCTGAAGCAGGACTTCTAGTATTTCTTTCAGAATGAGGAGAGAAGCACAAAAACCTCTCTCATAAACATTTTTTTATAATGAATGCTTCCTAACAAACTGATGGGATGGGATAAAAAGAGCAATCTCTCTCTACCCAGCATGAGAGCGTGCCTGTACTCCCTTCTGACACAGCCTCCATAGGCTACTGCAACATCCAGGGAAAAAGCCTCATCCATGACTATTGCCCAGCAGTCCCAGGGTGAATGAAATGAGATAAACTGACCTCCCACTTAGCAATGGTAGATGGCTTCCCCAGAGCTTCCTTCCAGCTCCATAGATCAGTCATTCCAAGCAGAAGCTTGCCACAGGGTGCCTCATCCTTTCTAAGACTCTCAGCCTGCCCTCCTCTCCCAAAGCCATTTATTTGGAAAGAGCAAAGAGCGGTCCCAGCACAGCTCTGACTAATGCCTGGCTAATTCCCAGAAGGGAAAGTAAAGCAGTCCCCAGGGAAGCAGCCTTGCGCTTCCCTGACCCAGGCTGTGACAGCTGAAGAGAGAGCTTGCTCTTACCGGTAATAAAAGCTCTTTCCTCATCAGAGTTACAAAGGGCAGTTCTTCCGTCTGTGTTACATCTGCAGGGCCAGTGGTGCAAGGGCAGGCGCCAAGATGTTGACTGCAGCAGGCACCTGGAGCAGTGCACTGCAGGGATGAACCTGGGTGCACTCCAGAGGAAAAGCTTAGTGTGACTCTTGCCCTAAACATTTTCGGTGTTAAATGCTGAAGTTACTGGTTGCTTTTCATTGCCACAACCAGCCAAAACTTACATTCACTTCCCCAAGTACTTGTTTTCTACTTTGAACACCAAAACCGCTACAAAGTCCTACTGCAATGCTCATCACATTCACAGGCATGAAACAACCACTCAACTTCTATACACACCTCCACTGGAAGCTGCTCTTCACATAAGCCTAAAAAGCAGGTTCTGAGAGGAGCAAACAAGCAGCAAATACATCATTGCTTAATACATGGAAAATACAGTACACATGAGCTATTTGCAACACCAAAGCAACGAGGTTCAATGAAGTTGAGGAAAAATCTATTAAAATGAAGAATACTTCAAATTAGACAATTTTTTCCTCAAATGTGCATGTTTTAATTTAGTATTTTTAGCGCTTTATGCTTCCTACACATTACCAGCTCATTTGTACATTCCAGCATTTTTACATACTTTTTAAGCTACATTTGTTCTTTTACTGACAATTAATGCTTTATTGAATTAATATTTTTACATTCACCAAAGAGACATAAAATCTTTTCTCTTTGAAGAAAAACAAATCTTTTCATGATCTCCGATGTTCTGCTGTGGGCAATATTTTGCAGGTGTACGTGGGAGCTGGGGAACAGCAGAGCTAGAACTGCCAATGTTCATTCTCCATTTGGAGGAAAGGAGGATTCCAGCACTCAGCAATTAGTTCTTAGGAGGAAGGATGCTGTACTGAAATAACTGCAGTTAGTGCAGTTACTATTGTGCATTTTGCTCATCTGAATTGAACTAAGTTTCCTCTTTCTAAAGGAGCATGAAATGTCTCGTTCCATCAGTTCACTCTGGGCAGTGAGCAGGAACGCTAAAAGAGCTGCCTCTAAAACTTAATCCTAGAGGGAGACTTCTCCCTTGGAGAAGCTGATGTACCCAAATAGCTTTCCAGGGTAGGCAGCATCCTCTGAAGGGGCCCTGCAAAAGAGTATGGAAGCTGATATGAAGCTTACTCTTTCCGTGCAGGTTTCACCCTTCTGCAAGGGTTGATTGCAAGGATGCCCAAGAGGGACTCTTCATCAGGGACTGTAGTGATAGGACAAGGGGTGATGGGTTTCGACTGGAACAGGGGAAATTCAGGTTAGCTCTAAGGCAGAAGCTCTTCCCTGTGAGGGTGCTGAGGCGCTGGCACAGGGTGCCCAGAGAAGCTGTGGCTGCCCCATCCCTGGCAGTGTTCAAGGCCAGGTTGGACACAGGGGCTTGGAGCAAGCTGCTCCAGTGGAAGGGGTCCCTGCCTGTGGCAGGGGTTGGAACTGGATGAGCTTTAAGCTCCCTTCCAACACAAACTGTGATTCTGTGAAAGCAACAATTCAGATAATTGAAGTCCCATTCAGTTCTATCCCCAAGAGTGCTTTGGCAAGGCACCAGGGCTGGCAGGGGTTGGAGCTGGGTGAGCTTTAAGGTCACTTCCATCACAAACCAGGCTGGGATTCTTTGATTTCAAGGAGCTTTAGACCCTGGAGGGGGTGAGCAGAGGGCCTCTGTAGCATGACTTTGCAAAGCAGGACTGGAAAAGCTCACTAAGTCTGAACTGCAGAAGGAATTTAGGTTTGAACATGTCAGCAGGAAGCAAAAGTACGTGAGAGCATGAAGTGCACAACAAATGACCCATGGTTTTCTGTGCAAAAGAAGGGGAAGTTCATGGGGCAAAGTACCACAAGGAAGGAAACTATTTTAACCTTATTTTAAAGAAAATAGGTTTTAGTTTAACAGAAGTGTTTTCTGACCTAAGAACCCATTCCTGGTACAGAAGGAACCCAGTATCCAGCTTTGCTTTCATGATGCTGTGCCAACACAGCTTGCTGTGCAAGAGAAGACTTTCAAATCCTTATTGAAGAGAAAAGGTCAGACTGAACTCAAATGGTTTCTCAATGAAATGCAGCTTAATGTGGGTTTGGCTAACTTTCACAGCTCAGTGCCAGGCAGCAACTCCAAAGGTTTTTTCTGAGGCAAGATCTTCAACCTTCCTTTGCTTCAATCCTCCCTTATTCAGGGAAGGAGAGCACAGCAATGGGACTGAGAGATCTTCATAAAGCAAAAACTTACAGGGTCTTGCCATGGAGTTGCTGTAACTTGCAACTGAGGACATCTATGCCAGACAATGTGTCTGCTGCTTTGTTGCTGGACACACCTTAAGGGAAGAAAGAGAGTTGTCATCTGTAGGTGGGATGAACGGAAAGATGAAGCCATGTGTGCTGCAGAGAGGGATGGGTCATATCAACAGTTCGCTTCAAGCTCAGGTTGGGATGGACTGGAGGGTGACATCATGGCAAAATCTTCTATTTGTCCTCATTTCATGGCTGGATCTGGGAAAGAATGATGATGACAGTTGCAAAAGCATCACCACAAGTGCGTTTCTTTATTTTGTTGTCTTTCTTTGTTGTTGTTAAGGCGTTAAACCTGATGTATTCCATCAATTCTTCTGCTCCAGGTACATTGTTAATAGCAGAAGCAAAACAGGATGCCTGATTTATTATGTATAGAGCTTTGGAAAGCCATAAAAAATGAAAACCTAGACAAGTCATCCAACTCCTCATTAATGGCCTTCAGCAAGAGGGAAATGAGACTAACTGTAGTAAAAATGCAAATAAAAAGCAACACAGGAATTCAAGCCTCTGTCTTCATTACAGAATCAACAAGAAATATGTTGAATTCAGGCAGCCAAAAGTTTAAAGTCAAAAAAAGGAGAACAAGCCCCAGTCCTTTACATGTGTAGCTCTGGCAGCAAGGAAGTCTTGCCAAATTCCTAAACACTTATATCACAATATATACCTCCCATTGGCGCACGTGGGCTCTAGCAGCCTGTGTCAACAGTGCACAGAACTACTCTCCAGGAATAAAAGTGCAGTTTTCCTCTGGAGACGGGAGGAGCCTCTTTTGAAGTCTCTTTTATGATGAGAGTGTGAAATTATCAAGACCCATTGAACTGAGCTTGAACAAAGTTTAAAGTGGGATTTCTGACCAGTCCTTGCTATGTCCTCCCAGCTGTTTCCCTTGCAAGAAGGGCTCAAGCACAGTGCCAGGGCTTTTCAGTCATGTTAAGGAGCAGGACTGATCAGCAGCTGCATGAGAAATCCTCTTCAAGGTAAATCCGAGACAACATGCTCTGGTTAAAATGTGGGAACTTGAGCAATGCAGTTGTGATACCAGCTGCTCTTGAGGAATCTCTTACCCAGCCATCAGCTCATGACAGCTCTTGGCTGGCTTTTAAAGACTGAGCTAGTGACATAGAGGAGAGAGGTCTCCATGCAGCTACCTAACCTCAAAGCCCCTTTGTGGTGAAGCCTGTGCAAACTGGACTTAGTGCTGAGAAAAGGGAGTTCAAACAGGTACAGAGCCCTCACTCACTGTGTTGCATGTATGTAATTTCTGCCTCCAGATAAAACACACCAAGGAGAGACTTACCATTTCACAGGGTCTGTGTGCTCTCCTGCCCTCACAGACATCATAGCACTTTTCTGCTGGTTTACATGTGCGAATATTTGCCTGGATAAATAGGTTTAGAACAGTTTGAATAAGCTGCACTTTCTCTTCGGAAGCTGGATCCTGGAAAAGATCTACAGCACAACCACAAAAAGGAAAACAAACAGGGAAGCCGGCACTGAACAATGCATCAAGGGTAGAAATGCCCAGACTATGTGAGATGTCAGTAGCCTGTAAATGTAACAAAACTGTGTTGATGGAGACATTTCCCCAAGCTCAGTCTTTATGAAAACTGTTTCATAAAACACTCAGTTGGATACAAACCTTTTTAAAAATGCAAGATACTGCCTTTTTCTCTTTTTTTATTAGGAAAGTTGCAGACAGTAAGCTCAGCAGGAGCAGAACTCCTCAAGGTGGTATACACAGCTGCATGAACTGGACTCTCTTAGAACTGGACACTGTCCTAATACAACCTGTGAGCTCCAAAGGTACTAACCAGAGGGAAAGACTTGCCAAACCACAGTTGGAGATAGACCTCTTGTCCCCAGCAAGTGTCTCAGAAACCCCAAGGAGTGTCTCCATAAAGCTGTCTTCTTGGCTGGGCTGCTGCAGTGCTGCACGGTGCTCCTAAGACAGCCCATGCAGCAATGTGGTCTTAGTGCTGGGGTCAGATCTTGCCATGCAAAGGAAAGACAACAGAGGGGTTTGGGCAGAAACCTGCCCGGCATGATGGAAACACCCCTGGCAATGTGGCACAAGCATCTGAGGTGCAGCAAAGCCAGTATTTTCCCCTCTCTTGTTACTCATCCCACAAGGAAGGAAAGGACCACAGTAACACATGTACTGTAAGAGAGGGCCTGAGTTATAATGTTATGTCTCTCAGGACACAGTGAGAACCCTCACATGCTTCAGAAAACCAAGTGGAGATCTAGTAGGTTATGTAGATCAATTGCAAGCATAGGATGAGGGAAACAGAAAGTGATATTCCAGCCATTAAACACAGGTTCAAGCCTTAATAATGCACAAAGTGAGGGAAACGAGCAGCTTTTAAACTGATGTTATTATGCACTGCTGCAACTGCCAGGAATTAAATGCTAATGTCATTCTCTTGCTTTTATTCCTCTCCAGCTCAGCAACAACCCACTCTCTGCAGCCTCTTCCTGCATCTGCAACTGTTCCTGTTGCACAGATTTGACACTTGCCTCTTTAGACAGTGGACCCTCCCCCATCAAAATACAACACCCCCCCCCAAATGCCTCAAACCCAAGAACTTCACCAGCAATATCTCTGCCTGAAAGCACCCTTCCCCCTCCCCCCCCCCACCCCCCCAAACCCCCAGCATTAAGCCTGACAGGCTGGACCTTAATCTGAGATATTACTCACATCAATTCTTTCGTACCAGCAGTAAAAATGCTGCTTATAAGGATCCACTTTAGCCATTTGAGCTTTCTCAGCCTTATCTTTCACTTCTGTGTATAGGAAATAGTGAAAAAAACAAAAACAAACAATTAAAACTATCGCATTTATTTCTCCTTCCTGATTTGCTGCATTTAAAAGGAACAAAGAGTCCAAGGCTGGCCAACTGGAAATCTGCAGCATGGCATTGCTTTCCTGCCTCCAGGAACACAGGAATAAACCCAAACTTTCTTTCCCCCTCATCTTCAGCTTCTGACTCTGCATTTGCACATGCAGCGTGCAGTCAGCTACTTTCTCTTACATGCACTCACACCTCTAATTAAACAGAAGCTCGTTTCAGCCTTTGGTTGTTTCCTTTTACACAGGGACTCCAAGCCTACATTACTTCTGCTCTGTCCAACCTGCAGTTTCACACACCACCAAAGGCAGGAGGATTACGTGGGCAACACGTCATTCTCCAGCAATACTGGTCTTGTTTGGCAGCCCCTGTGCCATCCCCAGATGACTGAGTAGTGTCTCAGTGATGCTTACGGAGCAACAGAGCGCGTTCACATACTACAGAAAATAAACTAGAAATGCAACCAAAGCACAGGATTGCCTGGGGAAAGGAGGGGGGAACAATCCCGTGGGGCTGTTAACACCTAGAAGCTGTTTAAAACTATGCATCAATATTATTAAGGGTGCCCTGCAGTAAACATACAACTGCACTGTGCTCTCCTCAGCCACGTAATGGTCGTGAATCCCCTCTGCAACCACAAGTAACTTTGCTCTCCTACCTCTGTGAATGGCTGCTGTTTTCCAGTCACCATGGGTACTGCACCCAAAATCAGACCACGGCAGAGGTTTAATCACAGCAGTAGCGATAAACATGAGAATGGTGTTAGTGTGAAGCAAAGAACCCGGAGGGAGAAGGGAAGAAAAAAAAACCCAGAGCCACACAAACCCTATTTCCAGGGGAAGGGAAGACCAAGGTGAAAATCAGAAAGCCACAAGATCACAGGCAATTATAGGTGACTTTCTTGGCAGTCACAACTTGCAAATCAAGGCCACCTCCTGCCCCAGTGGTTGATTGCCAGGAACAAGTTCATTAACCAGCGCTAATAAATGCACGTCTGGTCTGGGCTTTAACCAGCCAGCTCCACCTCCTCTTGGCAGCTTCCCCTGCCTGACCTCCTGCGATTGCCCACAGGCCAAATGGAGCCCTGGGGAAAGGCTGGGGGATGTTTTATCTTGCACCAGGATTAATTCAGCCCGAAAGCATGTCCTGGTGTCCTCCCATCACCTACAGGAAAGCATCGAATCTTTCTTTTGGCTTTTTATTTCTTTAACCTTCCCTCCACATCATTGATCTTTCCCGTCCTCCTCCGATCACCTTCATGCCAAAGGCTCACAGCCAGCTCCTTTTCTCTTTCAGCTGATATTTGCAAGCATTTATTTTATTTAACATGTTGCTCACTGAACTTTTTCCAGTTCACGTGTCTTATTTTAAACCTACAATTTGCAAAACAGCCTAATGCTCCAAATGGTGCTGAACCAAGTGGAATAATTACCTCACTTGTTTCAAGCCTCTGCTGGAGTCCAGAATTATACACTTGGAAAATTATGATTGTTTTATCTTTTTTTAGTTGCACAAGATGTGTGAAAGACAGGTTTTTATAAAGGACGGAAACCAGCCAAAACTATAATTACCACAGACAGAAAAGAATTCAGAGAAAACATGATTTTATGATTAAGGCATTGGAGCAGAAACGCAGGAATTCACATTATTTTTGTGGCTCTGCCAAACCCTCTCTCTCTAACCTTTGCCGAGGGAGTTAATTCCTTTGTGCCTCCCAATAAAATACTTTGGCACTTCCCTGTTTTACGACTCCTCCTGCAGAAACACATTCATTCCCATTGGTGAGATGTTCAACTCCACCAGTACCTGCAGAACCACACCATCGAGGACGGTTGCAATCATCTGGCTGAATTTAATCATCACTTGTCAAAAGCATATGCATCTTTAATCACAGGCACACGGGATACAGATGCATTGCTCAGCTGACCGAAATGTCAATTCATATTGCACTGGAGATGTATGAAGTCCAGAGCAATTACAGCAACTCCCAGGCTTCCATACTGATACTAAGTACACACACGAGGATGATTAGGGGCTAAAGCACCTCCCATAAGCTACTAAGAAACACTAGTAAAGGCTTACCCATAGCTTTTAGAATAACCTTGGAAACAGGATGCCAGAGGAGCCGGGGAGATGGGGGTTGTGTATGTTTCCAGGACATGATGAACACTGAACTTTCGGAGTGAACTCCATTTTAAAACCCTTGAGCAGCAACTCACATGGAAAAGCAGGAAAGTCAAGCCCCACAGGCTAAAGCCACATAGGAAGCAAGAGTCACTGGTGGTGTGTGTGGAGGCAGCTGCTTCACCCAGCACTTCAGTGCCTTGCTGGCAGCTTTGGGCACAGACTAAAGCATATTCAGAAGGTCCTTTACGCTGCTACCATGAACCATGCTTGCCTCATGCACTTGCATAGAAGCTGCTGCCACCGTCCTCCAGCCCAGGGAGAGAAGGCAAGCTCACGGGTGTCTCCCTTCTTCTCTTTTCCTCCCAAGCACCAAAGAGTGGGAAGGCAGCTATGTCAGCCGATCCCCCCCTTCCTTTTTCATTGCTTTAATAAATTAAGCTGAGCAACAATAGAGATGAGAGAAAGCAGGACAATGTGGTAAATGTAGCAGAAAGAAATTTGAATTGTAATGAGGAAAGCTAATCAGGAAAAGAATGGACTATAGAAAAAGCACTAATGAGTTTCTAAATAAATTCAAAAGGTTAATATTGTTCTATCTAGCAAATACGAGAAGAATCCTAATGTGAAATTAAAGGCCTCGCTCCAATGCCCTTGTGGCCAAAAGCCACACAATCCACCCTCTCTATTTACCTATCTGGCCACCCCAGCCTTCTGCTGCCTCTCATAGATGGCTGCTGCACATGGGATCCCTTCAGATGAGCTGCATCTCTCCGTCTCTTTTGTTTCTGTATATCAAATCCTTGATCCAAAGTGCAATAGGTCAATGGACAGACTCTCTTTGACTCACAGATTGTGCAGCAAGATTTGTGTTGGTATTAACAAATCAGTAATCAAAACGCTGGTTTCCAACCATGAGAGGTGTGTGTGTACTTGTGAAGTGCAGGATGATGTAGTTTTCAAGCACACTTATAATCACTTCTATTACCAGGTGGATTACCAGGGTGAGTAAAAAGCCACTGAGGAAAGAGTAAGTAAAAATAAAAGCTTATACAAATAAAAAGCTGGAGGGGTTTTGTTTGTTTGCTTGTTTTAATTTATATGATGTCAGTAGGTCAAAATAGAAACCTAAGACTTTCTAGATATAATCAAAACTGAGACTACTGAGTCCTTTATGCATCTCTTTACAAAACGCAGGAAAAATTGTATTTCAGCCAAAATATCCTATTTTTATGGTGAGGAAAGCAGTTTTCAAAGAAACAAGAAAGTACCCAATTCCCAGCAAAGTAATAGACTCGAAGGCTTTTTATAAGAAGATCTGCTCAAATATTTTCTTGCTCGAAGGAAATGGTGCTGTTACAATATTTTACCCTGAATATAAAAAACCCTAGAATGACATCATTCTGTGGGGAGAAATCCGAGTGTATTTGTGTGCATGGCTGTCCATCTGTCTTCTGAACTGCAAACCAAGCCTGGAGGGAGGAGATGAGGGCAGCTGCACATCCATCTCCCTCCCTGGTCGCACCATGCCAGGGTATGAGTTAGGTGCAGTCCCGGAGCTGTGTTATGATCCAGCTTCCCCCACAGCAGTAAATCCATCTGCACACATTTCTGTGCTCAGCCACACGCTGACGTGCTGGCACAGCCAGTGACCCACAGCCCATGAGGTCTGTGCACCTCTGCCCTGCCCCAGGCAGCAGCCATGGGCAGACCCCCACATGCATGGTCCCGATAGGCAGAGCTGCAACTGTTCAAGCTTGACCATCAAACAATCTCTTTTGCTCCAGAAGGGTCATTGGGTATTGAACAGGCTTCCTAGGGGAGTGTGGAGTCCCCGTCCCTGGAAGGGTTCACACACCGTGTAGATGAGGCCCTCAGTGCCATGGGTCAGTGGTGGCCTTGGCAGTGCTGGGGTAAGGGTTGGACTGGATGAGCTTAAAGGGCTTTCCCAACCTTTAGACTCAACCAATAGCTGGTCCTTTGATTCTATCACTTACAGAAAATGAAAATAATTAAGATGTTCACCTTTTTTCCTTCAGGCATGTGAATTATTCTGCAGCTGGAGTAATGCTCCTGTGCCAAGACTGACCATCCTATGTATTATTCACGGGGAACCTTGCAAAATGCTGCTCAGCCACTTACCTGCCATGAATAATACTGTTTGAGAGACAGGTTAAATGCTTTAGCTTTTTAATCCTCCTCCTCCTCGCAGGGAAGGCGGGCATACGTGCACTGCACTGAGGCAACACAGCAATCATGTTTGATAGGGGATTCAGTGGCGTTCGAGCCTGGCAGGCAAAGACTGAAAGCAGAAAACCTTGTACCCAAGAGACAGAAGAGTGGGAAATGCATGGAGGCAGAGACTTGACAGTCAAGACATCACTCGTTGCAAGTAACCCTTTGAATGCCAGTAGGAGGTGTGCACTTACCCTCACATCAGTTATGGAGAGCTCACCAGAGCTCCTCAGTGTTTCCAGCCCAACACGAGGGCAGTAAGATGGGAAGCAGTGGAGCAACTTGTGCTCCTGAGCCGAAGGTGGAAGTTTCATGGCTGAATGTTTCTGGCCTTGATCTGTCTGTAAAAGTGTAAATGCACAAATGTTTCTGAGACAAA